GGCTTCCTGCTGCTGCTGGCCGTGGTCGTGGGCGCCACGCACCTCGTCTACCTCCGCCTGCTCTTCTTCATCCACGACCGCCGCAAGATGCGGCCCGCTCGCCTGGTGCCAGCCGTCAGCCACGACTGGACCTTCCACGGCCCCGGCGCCACGGGCCAGGCGGCCGCCAACTGGACGGCCGGCTTCGGTCGTGGGCCCACGCCGCCGGCGCTGGTGGGCATCCGGCCGGTGGGCCCAGGCCGTGGTGCGCGCCGTCTCCTCGTGCTGGAGGAGTTCAAGACCGAGAAGAGGCTGTGCAAAATGTTCTATGCCGTCACGCTGCTCTTCCTGCTCCTCTGGGGGCCCTACGTCGTGGCCAGTTACCTGCGGGTGTTGGTGCGGCCCGGCGCTGTCCCCCAGGCCTACCTGACAGCCTCAGTGTGGCTGACCTTCGCGCAGGCAGGCATCAACCCCCTGGTGTGCTTCCTCTTCAACAGGGAGCTGAGGGACAGCTTCCGGGCCCAGTTTCCTTGCTGCCAGAGCCCCAGGACCACCCAGGCCACCCTCCCCTGCGACTTGAAAGGCATTGGTTTATAAAGGGCTCTCCCATCTCTTATACCCCAACCCAACCTTTCCTTTGGCTTGGACAGTGATGTTGTCCCCCTTCTGCCCCCTTTTTAATTTTCTAAGCTGCCTTCAAAATGACTTTTAGTGTGGATGAGCACTTGGGTTGTACAAACTCCTTTTTGTGGGGGGGAGGGGGTTGGGGGGACGCTGTGGGTAGTGGGTGGGTTTCCATGTTTCAGTCCTAGCCCAGTTCCCTGTATTTGTTTATTATCATCCTGACGATAGACTCTGGAGTCTTTGTATTGGTATTGAGGTCTTTCCTTCCATATGTTACTACTTTTTTCTTTTTTTAAAAAATAAAGGCTAAACTAATTTTCTTCATGCAGTGTTTCCTACAGACAATGGCCAGTTTTCTACAGAAGCTATTTTTGACAATTTCAAATGGCATTACATTTGGTGGTGAAGAAGAGGAACCTGGGGGAAATTCACAGGTTCCACTTCTTTGAGGGTCTTCCGTTGGAAGCAGTCAAGGAGAAGTGTAGGGAATTGTCTCAGTTCCCTCCTGATGGCCGGCCTTGGGCTCAGTTGCGCTTTGGAAGTGTGGAACACTGTGTTGGTACTGACATTGAATTTGATGAGCTGACGTGGAGGGCATTGCAAGGCTGTTGTTTTGTGAGCAGTGACAAGATTTGTTTCCTACCTAACTTTCTACTACCAGAAAATACACCTCAGCGACAACTGCCCTCTGTATTATACCGATCTTGACTGGAAACATTTCTGTAAAATTGTGACTTTTAAAAGAGTAAAAAGTGTTTTGGTTAGTAATGGTGTGGAGAAAATAACAGTATTGCATGATTTTGTTATGTGCTAGTTGTGGGTGGGTCACGGATTGGAAGGACTCTGAGAGGCAAAGTATTAAATCACAATTGTTTGGGTACTTTTTGCCAATGAAAATTCAAAAGATTTTGTGGAAACAGCTTGTGCTTTGAGAATCTCAGTTTTATTCTGTCTTATGAAACTAATTTTGACTTTGAAAATTGTTCTTTTGTTCATGGTATAAATGAATGGAATATAATGCTATTCTTCTAGAAGACAAAGCATTTTCTTAAAATGTTTGCTGGTTAAGCTGTGCTGTTCTACTGGTGGTTATTTTAAATTAATGATGAGAACTATAATTTTAAATATTTCTTTGTTAGACACATTGTAATTTAAATTGAAAGACTAAATTCTGCAAGTACTGTATAATATTTTCTGCTTACAATGCAACATTTTTATTGTACCTTCCGTTTTGAGGATTTATATCTGTACTTCTCTTTGCATTATACAAATATACCAGTATTTTCATTCTGGAGTGGTTTTTTGGTCACTGCTGTTGAGGTTCTGACTGGCATGAATACTCATCTATATATGTCATCATGTTCCATTATCTTTTTTTGCACATGCTGCTCAGTCTCAGGTTTTGTTGAATGACCACCTGCATGTCTGAGACATTTGGAGGCTTGTTAACTTAAAATGCAAGATAAAGATCTGTAACTTCCCTTTTAAAAGAAGCAGTAAACATACACTGCTTGAAAACTGTTCTACACCAATATAAAATAGAATGGTAAATAATGACCTTTTTTTTTTTTAAAGATTTATTTATTCGTATAGAACTGGGGTACAGGCCAGAGATGCAGAGGGTGAGAGGATTCATCAGGAACAGAGTGGGGAGCAGAACAGACAGATCTACTGAAATACAATGCTGAGGGGAGCAGCAGGCAAGACAGGAGAGGTCTGTGCTGTACCATATGTGAGTCAGAGCCCTGGTAGGGGATCAAACTCAGGCCACAGTGG